GGTTCTTAGGCGCAAGGCTGATGTTACTGCATGAGCAATAGACAGCAGTTTGCAAACCTAGGGTGGACTCCAGGCTCTACCAACAAATGTCAGATTCCTCATCTTAAAATAAGGGTAGTAGATGCGAATTCCCCGAGATTCCTTTCTCAATCCACTCCCTCTCCTGTAATATGTCATGGTGGAAACTCTACAAGTAAATCTAACCTCAGGGATTAGAGCGCCAAATGCCTCAGCATGTTGTGTTATTCATTTGACTTTCAAAGGCCAGAGAGAGGACATGAATCCTGGGCCACTCCCAGGAGCTTATTTATCTCCTGCAAGGTCAAGGTAGAAGGGGGTTGGGCAGTGTGAGGGAACAAACTAATACTTGTTGAGTATCTAATATTCCAGGTTGCTAGGTGCTTTATATATCTTATTGTGTTTAATGCAACCAACACTGAGATGGCATTAGATGACCCCAAGGCTCAGAAAGACTAAGTATAACGTTACCAGCTAAAAAGGGCTTCTCCGTAGTGAGTGCTTGATGAGTATTTGTTTCTTGAATAAGTGAATGCCAGGGCTTGAACCCAGGTTTGACTTAGCTCCAAAACCTGTACTATTTCCAGGCTGCATCCTCAAGCCCAACTTAGGAACATAGTGACTGACCTGCAAATGCCGCACATCTCTGGTGAGCTTGGTCTAAAAAGACAGCATTTAGAGGCGCCTGGGTGGCTTAGTCGGTTGTCTGCCTTCGACTCAGGTGATGGTCCCAGGGTCCTGGAATCCGGTCCCGCGTCAGGGCTCCCTGCTCAGCAGGGAGTCTGCTTCTCCCTCTGCCGCTCCCCCTGCTCATGCTCTCTCTCTCAAATAAATAAATTTAAAAAAAGATGGCATTTAGGAGAAACTCTTCTGAGACCTTGCACCAAACCACCAGCAGTGACTTGAGTGCTCCTGCCATGCTAATGAAGCGGTCTGCAAAGCACTTTGGTTGATTCCAACCAAAGGAAATTTTAAAAAAGCTAGTGTCTCGTGGCACCCATGGTTGCAAGAAACAGAAGCCTACTCAAATTAGCCCAATAAAAGGTGTAGTGGTAGTGGTGGTGGAAATATTTATAACGCTGGAGATCACACTGAATCCAAGGGAGGCTGAACAATTAAACATCAAGAAGGGCAGGAATCAGAGAGGGCCAAGGACTTTGTAGGATTGCAAAGACTTTTACTCATTTGCATGTCCTCCTCCACTGATTTATTCAGTCCCTCCAGGGTTGTTTAGAGGAGTGTTTTGCAAGCTGCAGCATGCACAGGCATCACCTGGAGATCTTGTTAAAATGCAGATTCTGATTCGGTGTGTCTGGGGAGGGACCCAAAAAGTCCACGTTTCTAACAGGCTCCCAGGTGACGCTGCTGCTGCTGATGTATGACCCCCACTTTGAGGGTAGCAAGAACTTAGGTCACTGAGTCACAAGCTGCAGTTGGAATCACCTGAGAAATTTTTTTTTAACCTTGACGCCTGAATTCCACCCTTCCCAGCAGATTCTGATACAATCGGTTTGAAGTATGACCTGAGAATTAGGATTTTTTTTAAGCCCCCCCCAGGTGATTCAAATGAGCAGCAAAGTTTGATTTGATGGAACCGCTTCTCTGAGGTTAGGTATCCCTCCTGTTCAGGCAGCTGTGGATGGATATGGGGCCTATAAAATACAAGCATATCAGCCACACTCAGGACCGTATAAGGCCAATGGGCAAGGATCAGCATATCCAGAACAATAAATGACTTGGAGTCCAAAAAGTGTGTGTACAAATTCTGGTATTCCCGTTTTCTAATTGGATGCTCTGCTCCAGAAAGTCTGGGTTCAGAACTCTTTAAGCTTTAGAGTGATTTTTATTTTTTTTTAAGTGAAAAGTGGAAGTTATGCTTTCTGATCCACATCCCCCTCAGGGTCTTTCGAGGCGCAGTGTAGTGTTGTTCAACCAGGGGGCACAGGGGAGAATAAACTGAAGAGAGATTTGGGGCCGCCTGGGTGGCTCAGTCGTTAAGCGTCTGCCTTCGGCTCAGGTCATGGTCCCAGGGTCCTGGGATCAAGCCCCGCATGGGGCTCCCTGCTCCGCCGGAAGCCCGCTTCTCCCTCTGCCACTCCCCCTGCTTGTGTTCCCTCTCTCACTGTGTCTCTCTCTCTCTGTCAAATAAATAAATACAAAATCTTAACAAACAAAAACAAAACAAAACTGGGAGAGCTTTCTAAGGAGGACAGGCTGGCCTTCCACGCAGAATTCTGCAAGTCTCAGGGTGGTGCAGGCATGGGTATTTTTACAAGCTCCCCCGGATGATCCTTCTGTGCATCCCTGGCTGTGAACCATTGATCAACTGAGATCATGTCATGAAACCTTCGAGCTGTCCTTGACTCTTCTACCAAACCCCATGGATTCCAGCTCCCTAAATAGCTCTTGAATCTATCCATCCATCTCATCCCTAGAGCCTTGTTCAGAGACTAACGTAGAAAGTTCCCTCAGCCTCCAACTCTTCCTAATTCCCTGCAATCCATCTTCTGAGTAGCTGCCAGGATCATCTTTCTAATACAGGAACTGCTTATGTCATTCTCCCGATCAGGATAAAGTCCAAAGGCCTTAAAGTGGCGTGCAAGGACATTCATGGTCTGGCCATACCTCGTTTCCTGTCACCCCCCCCGTACCCCACACTCCAACAGTCCTCACTCCCAGGAGAGTTCTGTCCTCTCAGCCTCTGTGCTGCTACTTGGAATGTCCCTCCCATCTTTTCCTGACAAGCTTCTGCTTTTCTTCTCCCTGCTCCACTGTCCCCTTCCCTGCAGAGCTCTCCCACACCCATCCTGCTCACCATCAGAGGTGGAGGGAGGCTTAGGGCCACTTCTGTTTTATGAATCTTAGGGTATATTTCAAAAGATGAAGAAGTGCCCAAAGAAAGTTACTCAAAAAGTTATCATTCTATCTCTGTGAATATATATTCATTTAGTGACAAATCAAACATCTTAATTTGAGGCCCTTCAAAAATGTAAGACATGGCCGAATGACCAGAATGAAAATGCATCCACTAAAATATGCAACATAGGGTCCAACTCTGTTGTAGCACATCACCTGTGAAATCAAATCAAGCAACATTTATTAACAATCACTATGATTATTACAAAAAGCGAGTATTTGTTGAATTCCTATACACTCTGAGCACGTTCTCACTTAATCCTAGTAACAACCCTACAAGGAGAGGACTGTGATGCCCATTTTACAGATAAAATTCAGGGTGACTTGGTGAATTGTCCATGTCACATGGATGGTGAGTAATGGATCTGGGATTCCAGTCCAGGCTCGCCTGGCCCCCGCTCACCGTCCCAACCACGGCAACTGCCTTCTGCCTTTGCAGAGCACTGAACTGAAACCATGGAGTGGAGTGGTGTAGAACACAAACACTTTCTGCCTGGGTTTAAATTCTGCTGACTTCCTTTCTTGAGCCTGCTCTTCACCTGCAAAACAGGGATAATAATACTACCTATTTCATAGCATAAGGATTAAATGAGATGTGGCAGGTTGAGGGTTTAGGACTCAGTGACTGACAGCTTTTCCTATTGTTTCCTGGCACTGAGCCAGGCTTTGCAGGATGAAAAGGAGCTAGAGAGAGGAGCCTTTGGACCCAAGTCCTCACTGACTCAAAGCCCAGAGAGGCGGAGGAATCTTGCCACTGTCTTCACTCGGGTCTTTCTTCTCTAAAAGGTCCTTTTGATTTATTAGCAAGAAGCCATCTCCCGACTACAAAGGCAAGATTTCAATAATTTTCACCCAGTTCCTGGCTAAAGATGCCCAAAGAGACTTCTAAGCCAGTGATTTTCAAAGAGGGAACTTAATTCATATGCTTTGAAGAGGGGGGCTTGATGGTTGGGCACTTTGTTATATTTTAAGTATGAATGGACGAGCCATCCCACATGGGCAGCATGTGATGGGCCCCGGGGACTGGGCACTTGTGAATGACGGGGCTTCCTATCGGTTCCTGCCATGTTAGAGGCCAAAGCCTCTCCAGGCATGGGGAGGCAGTCCTCTCCCCTAAGAGATGTGAATGCCAAATATAAAATTGGTCACCCAAAGAGAATCTTAAGGTCATTGTGCCTACTCCCCTGAGAGAGGAGAAAGGTGTTTGATGATGAAAGTAGAGGGCGCCTGGGTGGCTCAGTCGCTTAAGCGTCTGCATTCGGCGCAGGTCATGATCCCGGGGTCCTGGGATCGAGCCCCACATCGGGCTCCCTGCTCAGCGGGAAGCCTGCTTCTCCCTCTGCCTCCACCTCTATCCCTTGCCCTCCCCTCCCCACCGCCCCACCCCCGCTAGTGCGCGCACATGCGCGTTCTCTCTCTCAAATAAAAATCTTTTTTTTTAAAGATTTTATTTATTTACTTGACAGAGAGAGAGAGAGAGAGACAGCGAGAGAGGGAACACAAGCAGGGGGAGTGGGAGAGGGAGAAGCAGGCTTCCCGCTGAGCAGGGAGCCCGATGCGGGGCTCCATCCCAGGACCCCGGGATCATGGCCTGAGCCGAAGGCAGACGCTTAACGACTGAGCCACCCAGGCGCCCCTCAAATAAAAATCTTAAATAAAAAAAAAATAGAAAAGTAGATCTGAACCCTCACTTGTAACTGCTCGATCTAAATGGGAAGATGCCTCAGAGCGGATGGATGCCCACCGACCTGTGTACAAAGCGATGATGTCTCAGGGATGTCAGAATGTGAAGCCACATCTGTGTAGCCTATCGCTCATTCCCACACCTCCGGCTACCTGCTCCTTCTTCTGAGCAGGAGAATTGTTTTCTGTCCTCTTGGAAGGAACAAATGGTCTGAGATAGTGAATTGGGAAAATTGCTCCCGGCCCACGCTCCCCTCCCCGAGCCCCCATGGCAGATCCTTGTTGAGGGCCTATTATGTGCCAGACACTATGCATTTGTTATGAAGTCATCCCTGCAACCCTCGGAGGTGGAGATTATACCTTCATTTCACAGATGAGGAGATTTGGGTTAAATAATGCTTAGTGCTGCGCAAGGTCATATGCCTGCTGATTGACAGATTGGAATCACCGAGCTCCTCACCACAGAGCCCCCTCCCCTCATGCCCAAGATGCTGAGCTCCTTGGCCTGGGCTGCAGCGCACGCAGGGCCAGTGTGTGGAGCTCCCCAGGTGAGTCTGATGGGCTGCCAGGGCCGGGCACCACTGCACTGCGTCGGCCCTGCTAGAAATCCATAAATGGGGTTTTTATTCCATCTTGCATCACAGGTTCCCTGGAGGAGTGGGGAAAGCCGTGACTCTCCCCTATAGAAACATACGTTTATACACAAAAAGTTGCATACAATTTCAGGTAATTATGGAAATTCTGAAGCTTCTGCATGGATCCTCCAAGAGTCATGGACTCAAATTAAGGTCAAGTCTGTAAATCCTTGCTTCCAACTCCTTGGCCACACATGGGAGTTAGCTGGAAGCCCTTCAACAATTCATTTTCTTCCTACTGACTCAGAGATTGCTGGATCTGTAGTCCTGGGATATGTTCCCGGTCAATTCTCATACATCCAACCAATCTTTGGACTGGTTTTGGGGAAGAAGCTCTCTAAATGATGCCCATCCAATGGAACAGAATTCATTTCTGTCACCTCTACCCATATAATGTTAGAAAGTTGCTTAACCTCCCAAACCTTCTCTCTTCTCTTCCATAAAATGGGAATAACAACAGCCCCCACCTCATAGAGTTCGTATGGGATTAAATCAAATATTCCACGTAAGTGTTTATCATAGTGCCTGGCACAGAAAGTACTGAATAAACAGTAATGTATCACTGATTACATAGTATTATTTATCATCAATGTAATTAATCTCTGTAAATGGTCTCTTGGTGATAGGATTGGGAACAGAATCTAATTTCTAGTAGACTGTCAACAAAAATACATGAAAGAAAGGAAAAAATTCAAAGTTTATTAAGCATTAAGAATAACAGACAGATAAAGGTTTGGACTTAACAGCATGAACACCACCAATATCATGGTGTACAATTAAAAAACCTCACGTGAATTTGTACCTGTTTAACAGATGCAACGTTTGTGGTGTTGCCAAAAGGATGATGGTTATGGTTATTGTTACGTTTAGTAAGGTGCTCCCAAATTAAAGATGTTAGGATTTGACTTAAATATTCACCTACACACACACACACACACACACACTCCTCTACACACACTTGGCCCTCTCCAAAATGTACTGATTTCAGTTGCCAAGTCCAATTCAATCAAGATCTAGGATAAGGTTTTGCTCATTTTTAAAATGACAAATTGTAGAGAAAACCTGAAGGAGACCGCGGTGTTACCAGGGAGGCCCAGGAGCCCTCGGCATGAAGCTAGCACCCTGGGAGCCGAAGAGGTCTACCACATACACGGTCTCCCATCACCTGCATCTTGCTGACCCCGGGTTAAATCCCAGCCTCTGCACTCCACTCAGGCAAGCAGGCCAAGCGAGCCTGCTTTGGGATTACTCTGATTAACTCTCTTAAAGTGTGAGTTTTCCTAAAAGGAACATTGGAGGGGGTGGGGTGGATTAGATAAACTACTAGAAAAAAAAAACCAAGCAGAACTCTGCAAGTTATGGAATGCCCCCCCCCCGGGGTGGGGGGGCGAGGGGCTCCACCTAGAATTCTTTTTGACTCTTCCAAAATCACCCAAGACCTTTTAAATACACACTTAGAATTATTTTGTGTTCCCTCACAAAACCGGTGACGATTCACGGGAGGAACCTGTGCGTTATCTAGTACAGCACCCTAGCCACCCAAATCCCCTCCGCACTCTCCAGGAACCAGAGGTCGTTCTGCTTTGTGGGATGGCTTCACAGAGGCCTGTCGCACTGGAAGATGAAAGGCCCATCACAGCCTCGCCCATTGGGTGTTTTGAATGGTCAGAAGGTGGCCAGTGTCTCAAAAGGAGGAAACCATCACGACAGCCCTTGCAACCCCTCCCTATAGCCTCAAGGGGCCTGAGCAGCAGGCGAGGCCAGGCTGATGGGTTTTCACCTTCCTCTGCAAGTCTAGTCCACAGGAACGACAGCATGACCTTGTCAGGAAGTCCTGGGCCGCTCCTTCCAAACTGTGTGTAAATGATGTTGGCATGATATGATTTGGATTCATTTTTAATGGCCAAGTAATTAATCTCTGAAAGATACTTAGGATGAAAAGGTGAAGAATGACAACAGGACTTTTAATAGCTGCAGTCTGCAGAACTCATTTGACCCTGGTTGATCCAGAGTCATTCCAGATAGGGCCATGACTGCCCACGCCATTTAGCAGAACTGCCTTATTTACTAGTTAATTGCCCTAGAAAGAAAGCAGGGAGTCCAGGAATGAGTGTTCATGTGTGTGTGGTGACAATGACCTACACAGAAGGCACGCATGCAGACTCCAAAGTTTCTTAAATTTTAAGACGAGGTAGGTTTTCTGAAACCTCTCCTGACACACCAAAGGATGAGTTTTATTATGATCTTTTTATTTCTTCCGCAGAAAACATTTGCGATCCTCATTTGATACAAACCACCTAATTCCAAGAATGACCAGTGCTCAAAAAGAGTTTTCTCAGCTACCATTTCACACGGCAGTGAACTTGGATGGTCCACAGTGCATCGATTCTCCACTTAAAGATACTCCTTGTCTTTGCCACTTAATAATCCTGCAGCCATTGGTCTTTTTACCTATAAAAACGCCAACTTTGCGTGTCCACCTGTGTCTCTTACTGAATACCGCTTATTCAGTTCTGCTTCAGAACTTGGCCAAAGGTCTTACTTATTTCACTAGCTGTATACCTGAACAACGCATTTCGATTCTAATGCTCTCCCACTTCCTGCTGTCATCTGTGGCCCGGGACAAAATGAATACCTAGTAGGAATATCCTTCTGGTCAGGTTTCCCAAGACTAGGACACTATGACAGAAGCTTTGTGTGTGGACTGACCAGGAGACCACCAGGTCATTAAAGAATTAGGTACTCTGGAGGCAGGAGACTAGAAAATCCCATTGATGAAAGGGTGTTTTAATCTAGCACAAATTGTTTCTTTGCAATAACAGCAGAATCTCTTGACATTACACAACTTTGTGAAACAAAAGAAAAATCATCTTTAAGGTCAAAACACCCATCAAATTAGAAACCATACACATAACACCGATATCAACCTTATATTGCATAAGACGCACGTGCCCACAGAGGAGAACAGAACTGTTTGGGGTGCTTGCAGTGATATTTCATTCCAGGAACTCATAACTTTGAAGTGAACATTTTCGTGGCAGATGCTTTTCCTAAAAAAACACTGTATCATCCAATAAATATTTGACTAACATCCACTTTGTGCTTTTGGGTGACGTTAACTGACTTCCTTCTGAGACCTAATGGGAAACAAGAAAGCTCCTTCTATATTTTAGAGCGGGATTCGTCACACCAAGCTTCGATACTGTCATAAAATTTTAATTTAAAGCAAAAAACATGCTGATGTATCAGTGATAGGCTTAAAATATTAAAGACTTCAAAAACCCCCAAGCGCTTCTTCTCTGTACAACATTGATGAATATATATCTTTGCTATATAATTTTAAAACATGGAATAGTTTTCCTTTTCTCTTTGCTATATATAATATATGTCTTCCAAAATACATCGTCAGTATTTATATCTGAAAAATACTGTACAAAAAAGAACTTCCTATAATTACTCTGTATAAACATTAAACAATTTAATAATCTCTCCTTTTGGTCTATAGTAAACATTTAAATTGGTTGGATTAACCACAGTTTGTGACAACACCATCCTCTTCTGAGATACACCAGTGTCTTTTACATTCATTTTTCAGAAGTCCACTTTCTAAGAGCACATACGTTCAAAAAGCAAACAGAAAATAAGAAACATAAGCTCCAGAATCATTAATTTATGAAGCATTCAAAAATGACACCACTAGGATAAAGGGTCTTACAAAACATCAACTTATTAACTTAATTAACTGATTTTTAAAAACAGCAAGGTATAATTCACAAAAATATATATATTACAAAAAAATGGGGAAAACTGAATCTTAAGTAATTGTTTTGAGTATCAAGAGGGATATGGAAAAAGGTAACTAGAAAAGTGGGAGGGTGGGGGACTGGAGAGGGGAGAAAACAAAACCAAACATATCAATGTCAAAAGCTGTTCCAAGATGCAATTTTTTTTTTGGCTCCTACACTGATAAATTAACCCCTTGTTCTGAGACCTGGCATTTCCCTCTGCTTCCCTGTCCTGGGGATGTTCTGGGCATGCTCAAATGCATTACTGTAATTTTTGTGTTTTAAAAGACAGTGAAATTCTTAGGGAACATATCCTATGTCCACTAGTAATACTCAGGCAGCATGCTCTAGCGCACAATAGGATTATTGCTTTAGGTACAGACAGTGCAAAAACACACTCTGTGTTCTAGAATAGTACTCTTACTTACCTGGGGTTGGTAGAATTAAAAGGAAACTTAGTAGATAGCAGTAAGTAAATATGGGATCTAATAAATCTAAACAGCACTTTAAATTTGAAGACAAATATCACCAAAACTGAAAATATGAGGAAAGCAACCTATAACTGAGAGAGAGCGCTGCGGTGTAGTGCTAAGTGATTTTTGTGCACCTTATTAGCATGGTAACTTACAGATTACACAGAAACAAGAGCTCGTAGTCTTGACAACTGAGATCTACTAGTTTACCAGGGCCCTGCTTGGTGAAGCGGGGCAGATGGTCCTGGAAGAGTAGGCGGGAGCCACCGGGGAGCGACGCCGGAAGGGGCAGGAGTGGAGAAGGAGGGAGAGGCAGGAGACCCCAGGATGGGGGGGGGGATCCCCGCAGTCCAGTAAAAACATGGCACCTTTCTTTTTCGGAACTGAAAGACGATGAGAGGGCTACCTTAACATGGCAAGTGCACAGGCACGCGCGCGCGCCGCAGACCACACGGGAGCACAAGCACGCGCGCGCGCACGCACACCAGAGCGTGAGTCAGTTGTGTTTATGCCTCTGGTAAAGTGCTGATGTCAGAAAGGTTGCTTCGGGTGTGGTGCTATCAGGCGGGAAACACACTGTCCATCTATTCGAAAGCCAGCCCACAAAACCGCCATCCTACAGGGGCCCGTGCCGGGCCTCGTACTTGGCAAGTATGTTCTTGCATTTGCCCAGCTCCTTCCGCAAGTCAGCCACCTCCTGGCGCAGGGCCGAGTTCTCCTTCTCCAGAAAGGACGCCCGGATTGCAATCTGGTTCTCCTTCAGCCTCCGGGCGTCGCGGGAGCGCTTAGCTGCCATGTTGTTCTTCCTGCGCCGGGCCCAGTACTTGTCGTCCTGCTCATTAGTCACAGGGGGACAGAAACAAGGCGTTAGATTTCAGCCGCGGAGGGGCTCGGGGTGGCGCCCGGGCACCAGGGACCTAGGCATCTCACCTCGCGTCTCCTTCCCTGACCGTCTGGCACGTCTGTCTGACACCACGGCCCGTGCGCCGCGGCTGCCCTCCCGCAGCAAGGACGCACCTGTCACAGCGCGCCCCTCCTTCCTTTCTGCCCCGCAGAGTACGTGCCGGACCAGGGGACCCCAGAGGCTGCATAAAAGCAAGTAGCTCACTTCACACCCTAAGCTACCCTCAGATCTCTCTGCGTTCTTTGATGAAAATGTTATTTTAAGAACCCTTTCCTTCCATGGGTGCTCGTATGCTTGTTGGTAGAAGTCCATACGATATTGTTGCAAGGCGACTTGGCAATATCTATCAACTGTTGAAATGCACCACCATTGATGGAGCAACTCCCCTTCTAGGATCTCAGCCTCCTCCCATCTGCAAGGGTGTGCACACAGACACGGGCACAGAATTTTTACTGTGGCATTGTTTCTAATAGAGCTAGGGGAAACTAATCGGTAGGAGATTTAATAACTACATGATGATGGAATCATACAAAAGGATACTCTGCAGCTGTTACAAATAATGATCCAGCTGAACCAAAAAGATGTTCATGATATACTACTACGTGGGTGGAAACAACAGCAATTTGCTGATAAATATGTATGGCTTCATCCCACTTTGGTTAAAAAATCATAATATTGTATATTCATAGGAAGAGGCCCAGAAGGATTTATAGCAAGCTATTGAACTTGGTGCCTCTACAAGGGGAGTTGGAGGAGGGGCGCCAAAGAGAGAGGGAGGGTCTTTCACCTTTTTTTCTGATGTATGTCTTGGTAATTAAAAACAGAAATTAAAACACACACACAGAAAAACTTCCACCTGCCACTGATCAATATCCTCATGTTGGTGGCTAGCATTTAAATAATTTACTCCTAATCTCCTGTTTAACTCTGCTCTAGACCTTAAATCTCCTGGGTACTACTTAAATGGGCATCGTGACCTGTGCCCCTCATCACTGCTCCCCTGCCAAAAAAAGGAAAACTTTCTGAGGAAGACTAGGAAATGCAAGTCTTCTTTTAGGCCTTACCAATTCATCTATGGTGCCACCTGGTGTGTTTTGCAACCCTTTCTTTTCAAGGACTTGCAACAGCAAATCTCTCCATCATAGCGAGGCTAATGCTTGCAGTTATGCAGTTAGCAGTTACTGGTCACCCAGAATACGTGGGCTGAGGCCAGTGCTTACCCTCCCCCAGGACTGCAAGGGGCAGTTGGCATTGGAAGAGGTCACATGGGTCGGGACCCAGGCTGCGAGGAAGGCCCAAGGTCAGTGGTGCACCCCATACCCGCCCATTACCCTTGGCAAATGTGTGCCCTGCACGGAGACAGGAAGTGTAAGAGAGAGCGCGCGTGCGCAGGCACCTTCTGCCCGCCATTCACCCCATTCACAGTCTGGTAACCGGTTCCTTATTTATAAAGCGTGCCCAGCCTTTTACACATTTCATAATAATATGTAACAAAGTGAAAAAGTGATCTTCCCAATAGCTGGCACTAGCATCCTTCTTTCAGAGAAGAAGGCTGTGCTTTGAAGAATAGCTGGATACAATGTCTACAAGAGCCAAACTGTGGAAAGAGCCAAGATGTCCATCAACAGATAAATGGATAAAGAGGTGGGGTGTGTGTGTGTGTGTAATGGAATATTATGCAGCCATCAAAAAAACCATGAAATCTTGCCCTTTGCAATGACGTGGATGGAACTGGAGGGTGTTATACTGAGTGAAATAAGTCAATCAGAGAAAGACATGTATCATATGACCTCACTGATATGAGGAATTCTTAATCTCAGGAAACAAACTGAGGGTTGCTGGAGTGGTGGGGGGTGGGAGGGATGGGGTGGCTGGGTGACAGACATTGGGGAGGGTATGTGCTATGGTGAGCGCTGTGAATTGTGCAAAACTGTTGAATCATAGATCTGTACCTCTGAAACAAATAATACATTATATGTTAAAAAAAAAAAGAAGATAGTAGGAAGGGAAAAATGAAGGGGAGGAAACCGGAGGGGGAGACGAACCATGAGAGACGATGGACTCTGAAAAACAAACTGAGGGTTCTAGAGGGGAGGGGGGTGGGAGGATGGGTTAGCCTGGTGATGGGTATTAAAGAGGGCACGTTCTGCGTGGAGCA